AATTGCATTGTCAACCATCCTGTTTTCAGGCTCCAGACAGTGTAAGTAGTGGCTGTTACCAGGTTGTACTCTAGTCATATAATTAGTTGTATGTTTTGTCCCTAGAGTGAAAAAGCCAAACCAGGAGAACCAAGAATCCTAGACTGTATTGGAACCTTAGTGAGGAAAGTAGACTGATTTGAATCACTGTGCCCTGAGAACAGCAGTGGATGTTTATAAATCAGTGGTTCTGGTAGGCTGCCTTGAATGGTTCAGTTTGATAGACGGTTTCTGCCTCAGTATTGTTTTAATCATTCCGTGTCTAATATATTTATTAAAAAGATTGTTAAGAATTTCAGGTGATGATTAAAATTACCTGGTTTAAAATCAGATGCAGAAAAAATTGTCATTTTTATTTGGTAGCTTTTTGTTCTTATTGCACAACAAATTGACTTCCAAAAGCATGCCAAGCAAAAAGGAGATGACATGGGCCATATTGAAAACTGTTTAGTGATCTAGACTCCTGGGAGTTTGTTGAGAGGCCAGTGAAAATCAGGGGCTTAGTGTGCAAAGGATGGCATAAGTGAATGCAATATTGAATTTATAGTATTCTCTCAGGTACTAATTTTTTCATCATGTAATTTCTTAAGTATTACGCTAATTTACCATAATAATAGAATTTTTAAATTTTTTGAACAACTGAAAAAAATCCTAGAACTGAGCTGGTGAAAGCTGAATCAGTATAACTGCAGATAGTGATACAGTATCTTCGGTGTAATGGTGGATTTGCTTGTTCTGGTTTAAGACTGCCTTCTTTTAAATGTTCCTTTAGTATACTGACTAAAGTTCTTGATGCTAAAAGTTGAATTACAGACTAGAGTTTTTATTTCTCTATTAGATCATATCCTTCCTTTGACATGTAGTGACAATCTGGCTTAGGGAGGCCAGTTCAGGTTTTCTGTAGAAAGTTATAAGTAGCAGCATGAAGACCAGAAAGCCCTCTAGGAGTACAGGCATATTCATTTTCTTAATTTCCATTGACAGCTGTGTAGCCAAATGTGGTAGTAACCTTTGAAAATGGCATCCAAAGTGTTGGTTTTGTGGCTGCTGAAGTCCCAGCCGTGTGCTGTGAAGATGTGAGTCATTCCCTAGTGGTGCTTGACAGTTCCACTGTCTGATGGCTTCAGGCCATCCTTTTGCCCTAATGATGGTCTGTGGAGGTAAATGCCCCCCCTCCCCCAAACCCTACTTTAAAGAGTGTTTGTTTCTCCTAAAACGTGCAATGATATTTGGAGAGACTCAGCTGATATACATGAGTTCCTCTTGCTTGTCTCTAGTTCTGTCTAGTTGTGCTGGGGCGAGGGAAGTAACTGCTTATTCTAATCCAGATCTGCCTATTCCTGGGAATAAAGTGTAATCACACTGAATATGAAAAAATAGATTCTGTATGCAGTGGAAGCAGGTAGCTATTATGTACCAGCGCATAATGGAAACATATGGATTTTAGTGTATGATTTAATCTCTCAAACTGTGTTACTCTCTACATTGCAGTTTTAATTTCTCAGTAGTAGGTTCTATTCTCCATTTTTGTAGAGGTTGAAAGCTTTGAATAGACTATTGAAAAGGAAGAGGAATTTAAAAACAAAATGAAACAAGGTGGTCTTAAAGAGATCATTCAGAAACTCTCTTTACTCTGTTCCACCAGAATAGGAGAGTACTCAGTAAATTTCAATGTCTGTGGGAAATTCCAGAACTCATAAAAGGGAGTGGCTTGTGTCTACAGCCTGTACACAACACATTACTGCAGAAGGTTAAGGCCAAGAATATAGCAAACTTGAAACATCGATCAGGTACTACCAGGGTTATTGCTGATATCCAGACTCATAATAATTAATGCTGTCAAAGTTTGGAATAGAGATTGTGTTTTGAGCTTTGTGGCATGGAGTAATCTGACAGATACCAAGATGAAACTTGTAGAACGATGATGTCATGTCTACCTTGTACAGGCCCTTATGCTCCAGTCTAATCTCACTCTGCTGGCAACATACAAAAGTATTTGAGTATGCTACCTGGTAGTTTGTATCAACTACTGTTTACAAAGTCCCTATAAACAAAAGTGATAACTATCTAAAACACTGTATTTAACCAAATTAACTAGGGAGTAAAGGAAGTGTGGTTGGGTATCTCTGTAGTTCTGTAAGAGTCAAAGTGTTACTGATCAATGTAAATGGTCTCACACTACACTGGGCATACAAACTGAGCATTCGTGTATGTCAAGGTCCATCATGTTTTTTTAACATTCAGTTATTGTTCAATACAGGTTTTGCTGCTTAGTGTCATTGCTTTGCTGGTGAAAGACGTGTATCACACGTGTAGATGAGGCCTTATGTGATTGTCTTTATTTTCACAAATAGAGCCACATCTCAACTTGTGTGGATTCTGCTGTTGAGCAGTCTGGGTGCCCCTGGAAATAAAAGCAAAATTAGCCTGCAGTTAAATCTCAATACATCTAACCAGAAAAATGAATCCTAAGACAATTCTTGGGTTTCCACCCATCTTATGACTGTAAAAAGAGTAAAATAACACACAATAGTGCGATTTCTAATCTATTCTATCTCAAATTCTAACTCCCATTCCATTCCATTCCATTCCATTCCATTCCATTCCATTCCATTTGTACCTTTTTAGATTCAAGAACCTTGCAACTGGTTTTTAGTGTAACTTTATGAACATATAATACATAACATATAATAAGCACTGTTACTTTATAGCCTTCTGGCAGGATGCAGCATGATGTAGCTGTTTCCATTAGTGAGATGTAACACCAATATGACATGTGAAGACTTCTGCAAATGAACAGAACTAGTTCTAGTTCTGGGTGGGAACCAGAGCCAGTACCAGAGGAATTAAACTCCAGTTGCTTATCCTATAAATAAACACACTGCAGGAAGAAGTTGTCCCAAAACTTAACAGCTATTTAAAGGAGAGCTCTAAGGGAAAAAAGTTGGTTTTATTTTTGCTTGCATGAGAGGTTTCACATGAAATGATGTGTTAGTAGGAACTGTGCCAGTTTGCACAATGAAATGCTAATCTATCATGTAGGCCTCCTCCCAAGTGGTAGGGCTAAGAAGAGTGGGGACCTTTATTCTCTTTGCGTGTTCAGGTCTGGCAAGAGTAATTGGAATAGTATTTAGAGGTGTTGTGAAAGTGTAACTTTATGAAGCAAATTACCTCATTGGTTCTCATGCTTGTTCCCTAACTAGCATAATTAATATCCAAATGTTCCCTAAGATTAGTTTTGTTTCCTGCTCAGCTAGTTGACAGACACTGATGAGGTCTGAATTCACAGCAGGCTAGAGCAGATGGCTACCTTCGCTAACAGATTACTGCATCAAGACATACAAACTCTCCAGCTCTGTCTCAATAAACTTCAACACATGATTTATATAGTGAACATAATAAAAGAAATCCATGATGCCTATAATGGGAATCATATTACCATACCACTTGAAACACTGTGAGAATTGCCTGAGCAGTTATTGTATACTTGTGCTGATCTTCAAATCTTATTAGGCAGGAAAGCATTGTCTGGAAAATTATTCATCTTCTTTTCTGCATTGCTTCCACTCAGTTATTTTTTATTGAACTAATTTAAGGGAGGTTTCCAATACATCTAGCTTCTGTTGAACCTCCAGCAAACATTGAATTTGTTCACAGGGATTTGATGGTTATTTATTTGTTTTGGATCTTTTACATAAAGAAAAGTGTCTGCTAAACTTTTATACCAGCAAGTCCATGATGAAACTGCCGTACTCTCAACTAAAAAACACAACCAAAGAGAGCTGTTGTTTCAGACAAAGAAAAGTCATTGCAAAATCATGCATAAATGTCCTGCACAGCAGATAAGATTGATTATTTGAGATGATAAATTGCAAGTAAAATTTGCCTGGAAGAGCTGATGTGAAATGCCTCATAAAGGAGACCAAGACTCTTTACGGAATGTAGTAGCTTCAAATGATGACCTAGTATCCTTTAAAAAAGTTGTTTTTTCTAGAATGGTGCATAATTATTTGCTACATAAATAAATATGAAATGTGAGTTGCTATATGCCTGAAATCTACTGATATTACTAGTGTTATTTTGGAGAGGGTCATTCTATAATTCCTCATGTTTTTCATTCAGCATGAATTTACTCTCTGGGAAATTCCATTGTTTTGTGTGCCTTAGAATGAGGCACAGAGTGATTTATAGCTCTGTAAGATGGAGAGGGAGTTCTAATTCTTGTAAAACATGGTCTTGTTTCCTGATGAGTGCTAACCATCTCACTGCTTTTCTGCTTTCCTGAGGATAATAGAAAAATCAGCTGAGGTGCCTTGAGTAAAGCTCTGTGCAATTGCTAACTCTTTCTTCTGTCCTTTCCCTTTTCTAGTTCAATCTGTTCATTCTGTGTTTTCCTCCCTTTGAGCTTAAGATCTAGGTTTTGCCCCACTCTCTCTGAGTGATGTCTCTATATGAGAGAGAGGGCTACAGTCTCCTGTGGGATACTGGGAGCTAATGGGATTTTCCTGTTAGTGTTGTGGAGAGCAGTGGAAATATCACAATGTCAGTGCAACCTAGAGGTTGTTTTATAGCTGTTATAAAGAGACAGATACAATTTCCAGTTTTAAAGAGTAAAGGAGGAGTAAAGGAACTTCATTTGGAAGTTGAAAACTGAAGTTAAGATAATTACTGTACGTGCACCTGACATGTATTCCTATATAATTAACTAGTTTGTGTGTTTCCATATGCAGTAATGTTTTCTTAGGACGTGAAGCAGAGGAGGTGCAGAAAATATATAGCAGCTAAAGATTGTAGTTTTTTATTTCCAAAGATGCTGTTTGTACTGCCTGACTGAATAGTACTGTCTACAGTGAATATTTAATGTAGTGCTTGCATTTATATGGCTTGCTTAGAGTTGCATGGTGTCTATTCTGTCAAATACAAGTACACGTTGGGTTATTGTGTTGTTGTTTCTATTATAGACTTGCCCTCAGCAAACTTAAGCAATTACAACATCACGGTGGTGGAAGGGAAGAGCATCACGCTGTACTGTGATACTACTGGTGGGCCACCCCCAAATGTGTCCTGGGTGGTAACTAATCTTGTTTCAAACCATGAGGTAAGGTTTATATTCAAACACGTGACAATTCAGGTGACACCTGCTGAAGGATGGAATCAAGTTTCATGTCCAGCTCTGGTTAATTTTCTATTAAAAGATGAAGTAGAAATTTAATGTTGGGATTACATTTATCTTCCACTTACTTTCAATCCAGGCTGACTGTGGCAGAGCTTTTGGGGAATGGCAGACATTTGTTTCTCAAGATTCTCATTTGCACTCTGGTGTTACGGATGTTCACTTGTAAATGAGAGTAATGTAAATTTTTGAAAGTAACGTGAATTGGAATACTGAAACACAAGGGCTTTCTTATTATCACTGATACCTGCCTACAAAGACTAAATTCAGTCTATACTGATTGTGAAAAATCTTTGCATCTGTAATTTTATTATATTCTCATTTAATAATTCAGTGTGTTGGAATTTGGTTGTAAATATTTTGTGGCTTGTTTAATTTTTCTACAACACACTTAGCAGCAACAGAAAGCCTTGACATTGAAGATTTTACTTAAAAGACTGTCAGATTTATTTTGTTCTGGTTTGTTTTTTTTTTCTAATGATGTATGAGTATCTTACCTCATTGAAATCATCTATCTGGATAAATTTTGTTTTCTGGCCTCTTTATATTTTTTGTTTTTTGTAGACTGTGTGCTGCTTAAGTCCTTTTTGATGGAAATATTGAAAAAGGAGGGCCATATAAGCAGCTGCTGATCTCATAAATTGCTATTGTTTCGCAATGGGAAAAACCCATGTTTATTACAATTTTATGGCATTTGCTTTCCTATATTCATGATGGTGCACACTGCCTAAAGCTTCTTGGTCTATAGAAGGTGTGGGAAGTGTACTTCCAAAACTCCTCCTGCGGTGAGGAGCATATAGGACCTCTTGGGTCTCATAGTTGTTACATTTTCTTTCCAAAGTTCATTATATCAGACTTGTATAGACTTCAGGTAGTCTGTCTTTCATCCCAGCTTTCATAAGTAAGAGCTCTGCAGAGCTCTAATTGTATTTTTAAAACTTTCTCTGATCTGTCAAACTTCCCAAAGGCATCAAGACATCAGTTGTCTTTGAGAACTAGTTGAATTAAAGAACAATTAAAACAAGCTGTTTTAAATTGGGGAGCTCTGCCAAGTTGCCCTCTTTTTAAATTTTTTTTTTTTAAATTTTAATTCTAGGAGCCAAACCAAATCTCAAAAAGCGAGATCATCTAATTCTTTTAACCCTCCTATCTTTGAAATGCCATGATCAATTTGCTTCAAGTTTTCCATGAGTATTCTGTCCTGGCATAATTTCATCATGCCATTGTAGAGCGGGTTATAATACAGGCTGGCTGCAACCTTAGCCAGGGAACACAGCAGTCTTTTCAGCAAAGAGCATGAGCCTTTTAGACATTATTTCCCATTCCCAACTATCCTTTTCTATGGGTGTTGCTTTCGGTTTCTTTTCTTTCACTTCCATGTATCAGTTTTTGCCTTCATTTTCTTCATCTTGTATGTTTTTTTCTCACTGTTTCCTCTGTTTTCCACTCTTTTAAAAGAGGGACATTAGCAGAGGTTAAAACTAGGCTCTAGTTCTGCAAAGCTAACCTTTACATTCTGAGTTTCTGTGTTGATGGATAGTTTGACTGATGTTTGTTTGGATTTTTCTTGCTCTAGATTTCAGCCCTGAGCCTGTGTTACAGCCCCTCTGCTTTTAGTCCAGCTTTGAGCACTGCTCAGCTCTAAGAACTGCAAAATAGGAAAATATGTGAAGAGGTGTTTGCTTTTCCACATGCCTCCCCTACTGTCACACTGAGATTGAAGGGACATGGAACTCAAGTGGAGCTAGGGTGTCATCTCAAGGTTCAAAATTCTGTTTGCACAGGACTGCATGCAGGACCATTCCCACATATTCCTGTTGACTGCCACCTGAAGTTGCTGTGGTTATACAATTATAGTGGGTTACTTGTTTGTGCTGTCTCTAGCACTGACAGTGTACGTTACAAAAGTATCTCAAAAATAGTTGTGAAAATTATCATAGTTACTATTTATTTTTGGAGTGTGTTTTGGTTCCTTTCCAGTTTAACAAAATAGTCCAGCTCTCTTTATGAAAAATTCAAGTATGGAAACAATGATTATTTGGAGATAATGTGAAGGGCCTGATTTATTAACATCAGAGTTACAATTAGCTTTGCTAGTGCTTTTTGTGTGGGGAGGAGGTGGGGGTAGTTCAGCCATATTTGCTTAACTAGTGTGACATAGCTGCATAGTCATTATGTTATTTAAGGCTGTAGATAGACACTGAGCTTTCTAAGAATCAAGATTTTCAAGAATCATCAATCTTACTTTATTAGCTTGTTTATAAATACATAACACAGTACTTGGCAAATAGGTTAGGTAGTAGAAGGTATGCAGTTTCTTTTGGAAGATTTCTTAAGAAAAGAAAGCTTTCAGAAGAAATTTGGTTAAGAAGGAGATAGAAAACATGTCAAGATACAGCAGGGCTCAGAAAACAGCAGTGGGAGAGATGTGAAGCATAAATTTAAAGGAAAGAGAGAAAAGGATGAGTAAAACAAGGATTGAACACATATAGGCAGGAAGAGATAGTTTTAGAGATAGACCATAGAAATAAGTCATAAAGTAGGAGAGAGGGATGAGCAAGGGTATATGATTAGAGGAAAAAACCCATTTGTGCAGAGGGGATAAAGTGGTAAAAAAACCCACTGACTGAAAGTGACAGGGCAGAAATATGACTGAGTGCAATATTTGTAGCAGGACTTAGGAGCTTTGAATCCACTGTACTGACTGTTGGAATTGGTTCTGTAGGTGTTTTATGTCTTTTTGGATAAGACACTAAAATAAGGCTTTGATTAATTGTGGACAGACACAGCTGAAAGGAAGTGAAAATGAAAAATGCCATTCAGCTGTGGTCAGTAATTCCCTCCCTCTCCTTTGTTTTTAACGTTGTCATTGATGCATACATGTTTTTCTGATCATTTTTAGAGTGACACAAATAAGAACCCTGCCTCACTCACCATCAAGAATGTTTCTTCAATGGACAGTGGACTGGAGATTTCCTGTGTAGCAGAGAACATTGTGGGAGAGGACCAAGCCTCTGCCGAGCTTACGGTATTCTGTACGTATGTGGGCCTCCATACAGACCTGGAGGCCAAACTGCATTGTCAGGAATTGTTCTGGGTATTTTTTGGACCTTCTGGCTGTTGAAATGAAAACTCTTAAGGTGTGTGAACTATCTACTGCAGTTAATGCTAGGAGTAGCCCAGTCAGCCGTTGTTGCATTTATCTTTTTCAGCTCTGTATTCTGCAAAAAATGTATTTCTGGCTGCTTTGTCTTCCAGTTAAAAGAATCTGTAAGTAAAGGTCTGAAATCCTGAATACTGAATGGCACTGTCAGTGTGGGAAGGTTTGTAATGGTGTGTATGTACATACATGCACACTGTCTTAGGAATTGCAAAATGGGAATGCATCAAAAGGCTGGTAGAACTGTACAAGACTACACATGTACACATGTTCTTACTGCCTAAAACAAGAACTCCTTTGTTCATTGTTTGTACAGCCAGATGTAAATTTATTTGTCATGGCTTTGAATAGTGCACTTATTTCGCAGGGCCAAGGAAAAGAGAAGGGGCATATAGTGTAGAGAACCACTTGTTTCTTATCTGAGCTCCAGGCTGAATTCATTTTACATGGACTATACAGCATGTTTTCACAAGTTGCAACCCTCTATTTAATTGAAGATGGGAGTGGAACACTTTGTAGATGGCAAATTTTGCTCAGCATATGCTTATGACAGAGTAAACTAGAAAAACCACTACAGATGTAGGTTTGTAGGTTGAAATTGGATATGTAATAACTATGGGAACGAACATAAACTAGAAATGTTTGAAGAGTGTAAATGAGATTCTGAGCTTGGCACTATTATGAGTGATAAAAGGGAGTATAACTAGAAGAAATCAAATGTAGTTAAGAATAAATATAGAGGAAAATAATGGGCAAGGTGTTGGAATAATCTCTTGAGGGAAACAGAAGAGGTCTGTAAACTTGAGGCATTTAGTAAGTTTGAACAAGGATGAGAATATGTATACTAGAGAGTTATTTTTCCCTGAGAGAAGAATCTAGAGAATTAAATAATCTATTCAGTCTTTGATTCTATTAAGAAAATAATCTGTAAATTTGGATTCCTAGCTGAGTGCCTTTCCAGTGCTTTTGGCCAGTTTTAAATATTTTCAATATTATTGCCTTCCTTCAGCACTCTTGTGCACCATTTTTTCAGCAAAGTAAAGATAAAATATCTTTAAATATCTCCTTCTAAGTGAACCACTAACCGACACCTTACATGTTTTAAGTGATTTAATACGTTTTCAGTCTTTGAAACTAGCTTGTTTTATTTCTTTCTAAAGAGCGGCTTCAGGCCAGTTCAGCATAATACTCTAGACAGAGAAGGTATGTTCCTGTGTGAGTATCCTTCAAATAGGTACCATTCCACCTAGTAACATACTTTTGTACTGATGAATGAAAAGTACTTCCATGAGAACTTGAGAGGGAGGGAGGGAGAGAGGGAAGGGAGGAAGGACATGTTCAGAATATTCTGATGCTCTTCACTCTTTTTTCCAATATAGTTGCACCAAATATCACATTTATTGAGTCTCCGACCCCGGACCACCACTGGTGTATTCCATTCACTGTGAAAGGGAACCCTAAGCCCACATTGCAGTGGTTCTATGAAGGAGCTGTTCTGAATGAGTCTGAATACATCTGTACTAAAATACACGTTATCAATCAAAGTGAATACCATGGCTGCCTTCAGCTGGACAATCCTACACACCTGAACAATGGTGCTTATACCTTACTGGCAAAGAATGATTATGGAGAGGATGAAAAACGGGTTGATGCTCATTTCATGTCAGTGCCTGGAGATGGTGAGTGCAGTGCTTTGTTTTTTTTATGCTAGCAATTGCAAATTGATGAAAGTGGTGAAATAGTGCTTTTGGCCAGTTTAACTATTTTGGAGGAAGGTTTTTATAGAACTTTATTTTCTCTGAATGACTGTTTTCAATATTACTTATAAAATAATGTTTTTCTTGAACATTTTTTTCTTGTTTATTGCTTCTGAACTCAGGTCATGCCAGTGCTCTGTAAATCTTCTTTTGAGTAACCATCCTCCCTGCCAGCCAAGGCTAATGAAAAGTTGCTGTTTCTGAAGTTTTCCCAAGCCTCAGTTCTTATCCTGAAAAGCACTGTGTGCCATTCAGTAACTGTGTAACTTGCTGTACTGCATATGAATGGAACTAGGCAGTGTGTTCAAGGACGTGGAGGATGCTTGTGTGGAATCTAGTGGAATTGATAGTGCAGTCAAGTGAGTTCATGGCAATACGATGTTTTTAGGACACTAGAGGGAACTGGAGAGAAAACAAGTAACCCAGAGGCAGGATGGATGAGGTCTCAGATCTTAACGGGCATTTTTGGTGTCCAATTGCCATTTGTCTAGGTGGTGGCTGGGCACCTACACTGCTAGGAATATCAGCGCTCAAGATGGTTGCACCTTCAGTTGCTCTAAAGATTCCCCCTTGGCCTTTCTAAATAATCTGTGGGCAGGCTCAAGGTGGACTAGCTCACTGAATTGCAGGCACTACTGTAAATGATTGATGTTCACTGTGGTTTGATCTTTTCCCACACCTTCAAAACCATATATGAAGTGGCTGTAATAACAGTCACTGTACATGCAAGCATATTGCAGCACATGGAAGAGCACTCTGAGTGGACCTTGCACATGTGGAGTAGAAATAGAAGTTGTGATCTTGTGCATATAATTACATAGCCGTACCTCAGAATATGAGACTGTATGTATCTTTGGCTTTTTGGCCATGTGATATAAACAGTTGCCCTTTTTTTTTTTTTTAAACAGCAGTGCTCTGTTATGTTATCTGATGGGAAAAAAAGTAGTGAATATTTAAATTCTCTTCCTACATCTCAGGCCACAGACCATAAAAATATGGTCAGTATTTCAATTTTCCCTTTCAGCTCAGTTTGCTGTAGGGAGAGAGATGGTAGGTCTTTTGCTTTCCCATCCTTAGGAGAAAATGAAGAGCTGAAAAAACCAGGCTTGCTGTGCTCACTGCTCCTCTCCCCTTTTTTCTCTGGAGTTCTTCCTTAAAGGGACTCATTACAGAAACATGCCATGGTTTCAGCTACTGGTGTTCCCTAATACTGCATTTTAATTCAGCAAAACAGTTCACCTCATGGATGTTCTGTGGAAGTTCTCATACACCCTCATTATTTAATATGAACCCAGCTTCATTTTCTAGCATAGTATCAGCTACCTCTAATACATTATGCAATTTTATCTTTTTTTTTTTTTTTAATCCAAATCCTCTTTCCTGTCCTGCTTTTCCTTTATGCTTCTATCCACAGTAAATAGAACTGTAGCTATTCTTTCATTTAGAAATAAAACATTTATTTTTTCCATCCCTTTTATATTCCTACATAAGGTAAGTCTACCAATATAAACTGTGCTGTGTTCTTTAAGAATTTCCCAAGATCTGTGGTGGAGTAAGCTTCACAAAAAGAGTTTAGAGGAAGTGGGACTATATATAGACAGGATGTAACTGCATTAGAAATTAGTTCATGCACTAATGATGGCACCAAACCAGTCTTAAAAATCAACAACAGGAGAAATGGCTTATCTACTTAGCCTCCTCAATGTTGTTTTTATTTTCTCCTGCAAGAGTCATGGAATTGAGGCCTAGAAAACATCACAACATTGTTGTCTCCTCCACTGAAGCTCTCATTAAAGCAAATGCATCGTATTACAATTTTTGTTCTATACTATTGCTATTTAAAGCACTGTCAGGCTTTTTCAAATCCTTAAAAGGCTTTTTCAGTGCTGTCGTTACTGTGTAGTTTCTTCTTTTGGCCCACATATTGTGCACTGAGGCATAAAGATTAAGGCCCACGCCCTGGTATTATGTTCATTTTCATGTCTTCACGACTGAATTAAATACCAGTCCTGATGTTTCATGGGGCGGGGTACAGTCACTGAGCTTTAAACTGATTCTCTGCTTATTGCATCACTTGAACAAATGCTCTGGAAAAAAAAAAAAAAAAGCAAATTAAATTTAAAAAAAATCCCCTCACCTATAATCCATATGCCTACCCAAGGTGAATGCATATAAGTCTGAAGCATGTTCTACATCAACAGAGTAATAGTCCACTTTTAGAGTGGGATCAAACATGATGAAGAGGTAATTTGTGCTGAGATGCTCCTAACTTTCAGCATGCTTCTTGAAGAACGGTTTTTCACTGGTCTGAGGATGCAGGCATGAAAGACAGGACACCATGTATCTCAGTAGGATTTTGATTGTGCTAATGATATCCATGTTAGTGTTGTAAATTAAGGATTTGTTTTAAATGTGAAGACCTGGAAGAATGAATTTCATGTTTTACTAGCTGAATTTTTAACTTTCTTTAGTCTGCTAAAGTTCTTGGTTTCCAGTTCTTGCTGAGAGAGACTTGATTATTTGAGACTAACTGTAAGCAAGAAATGGTCATGGTTTATTCTGGAGGCTATTTCCATAGTTGATCCAAAATGGCTAGTGAATGTGGGAGAGATTTTTACCAATCATATAAATTTTTAATTAAGCTTATTCATCTACTAACTCTCTATGTTAAAATTCAGCTGAAGGAGTCCAAGTCACATATATCTTGTCAAAGCAAAATAATATGCTAAATATGCCTTAGAAATAGCATATTGCTTGTGCAGCATAACATGCTTTTTGCAGAAGCATGTTTTTGGATTGAGCCTTTTGCTGCTGCTTTATTTTGAAAATGCCAAATTTAGAAAGAAGTAAACAATCTGAGTGCAGTTGATGTAGTTTGTAAAGATGAGTGAATAGGATAAGGCTTTTGATGGCTCATTTACTCAACAACCTCTTCTAATGGGCGCCAAAACAATGGTGCTGTTCAGTACTCGGCCTTGAAAAAAATGGTGTATTAATGTGCAAAAGGACTGTGGTGAAGTTTAATTTTAAAATAACTTCAACTGATTATTAATATTGGTTTGGTTTTATGTGTTAAATAGAAACAGTAATATTAAACATAAATTTGGGGTTGTCCATCATCTTTTGTAAATTTTGTGACTTTTGTAGCTTTATTTGAAGTGTTTAGTTATATAAAAAATATTTGAATGGAATTGAGGATTTCTTATTGTTTATGTCCAGGAGGAGTTAAGGGTTATACTAACCTTCTTAGTCTATCCCAGTTCCAGTGAATAGAAACAAAAATGTTGACATTTAACTATTAAATAAAGGATTTGGAGTTTTTTTGTTGTTTGGGGTTTTCTTCCCACTTCAAATTACAGAAGGTGAGTTAGAAATACTGTTTTTCAGCAATTGTATGTTCTACATGTTGGAAAACTGAATCCATTTACTTTTGTGAACAAAAATATCTGGTCAGATTACTTGAGAATGGATACTCAGGCTTTCTTCACTGGTTATTTATTTCTGCCGATTGACATGACAGTTCTCATGGGATCTATCGACATGTATCCTTGGATTCTGGAATATCTTCAAGTGCCTTTAAAAATAAGCCTAATCTTCTGCACAGATTCTCATGCTGTTAACAGTGGTGTTCTGCCCTTATTCCCTGTGGCATTATGCCCATGCAATGCTACTGCTATGGATTTACTGTATGGTAGTGTAAACAGAATTATGTTTATTGAAGTTTGATTCATCTTTAGAGGTTTTAATTATTTGTTAATTTTATTTCCAAACCTGTGAAAATGGAGAGAAAAAAATATGGAAAAGATAACTATAAGCCTAATATATAAGCTGTGCTAGAAGTACACTATATATCAGAATGAATGGTATGTTCAAACACAAGTATCTTGCAAAACATGAATAACAGTTCCCTAATTTCTGTGACTGTTCTCTGCATTTTACTCACATATGCGTTAAATCTTACATGCATGCAGTAAGTAATCAGAAAATGCTGAAAAGAGGAGCTGGTAAAATATAGAGAAGTGTAGACTAGACAGGTATCCATTTGCTAGTGTAAAGTCTGGCTTCTGAGACATCTGACTCTCAGTAAGTTCTGTCTGTGTATCAGCTGTGCAGCTGGCTTCTTGGAAGCATCCTTTTACAGAGTGAATCAAATGGTGCTGCTTAAATCATTTCTACCTGTAGCCCTTGACTTGACAGCTCACAGTTTAAAATGGTTTGCTCGCACAGTGATATAATAACATAATTATTTTTATCAGGTAAAAATCAATAATTTTAAAGCTCTGTGAAATCTGCTTCCACTTGAAATCAGGGAAAATTTTACCTTTGGCTTTTCAACAGGAATAGTTATTGTTACACTTATTCCATATATATATATATATGTATATAAATATTCTGGAAAGCAGGATGTTGCCCAGTTGTGAAATAATGCATGCCCTTGCCAGAGTTAGTGCCATGTGTACACATGAAGCAAAATGTTAACCTTTGGGATAACTCTAAGATGATTGTAAATGTAATTAATAAACTGAAGTTATTGATGTTAATTTGCATTTAAGTAGATACTTATGATTGCTATGGCAAAATAAGTCAACTCTTAAAACTACTGCTAAAGAAATTTTTATTCTTCCATCATTTGCAATTTATTTACAAAGCTTTTCTTTCTTTCTTTCTTTTTTTTTTTTCTTCTCTTTTCCATGTACAGGTAGTGGCCCAATTTTGGATCCAGACGTTTATGGTATATATTTGATTTTCTTTTCTTTTAGTAACAGAAATGAAGGAACTGAAACATTGACAGTCCAAATGTTAGGCTTAGTAAAATTGAAATGTCACATAGAATAATACAGCTTTTAAAGGTACTTTGTGGTTTTGGTTTTCCTGCCTTATATTTAACATATGTGATGACAATACGATGTTTTACTTACTCTGCTGCTTTTGATTCACATTTGAAGCATAAATCCACTGCTACAAATGGGTGCAGTTGATCCTGTAGGATGACAGCTGTGTGATGTAGTTCACAGACATGAGATTTTGTGGACCTTTTGGAGGCATTTCTTGGAGGAAAGAGAGTTTGTGATTTCTCTTTAAACAACTTAATTTATTTTTTCAGGGATGATTCCTTACTTGTTTTGCCTCCAAAAATGTACCCCTAAATCCCACTTAGAAATGAAGTTGGCACAAGTAAGTTTTCCTGTAGGCAATTTATTTTGCTCTGTCTGCTCATTTGTACCTTCCCTTAATCTCTCTTGCATAAGCAGACCATCAATTCAGTGATGCTGAGTGTGTGCCAGGAGATTTTGATGGCACAGTGTTCACATTAGTTTTTCAGTTAGGCAAAATGTACCAAGTGAAAGCCAGTGTGCACTGAAATAGAAGCTGCAGAATGAAAAGCAACTGTCTGATTTTTTAAAGTATTTCTGGTATAATTCTGGTGAATAGAAAAGTTCATCTTACCCACCATACACAAACAGCTTGGAGCTGGATCCTTTTTGGAGTGCTTTTTATTTGGATGAATAGCATGACTCAGGTTACCTAAAGCTGATCTAAATGTTATTGCTTTGATTCCATTCCACGTCATTAAACTTTAGCAAATGTGCAGTTGAAGCATCAATTTGACTTCAAATGCTTAGAAACTCCAAAGGATAGCTTCCCCTCCCTCTCTTTCCAAAAATCCCTTTTTTGGAGGAGAAAGGAGGGTTGGGGATGGGAAAGTGGGGATGGTTTGCATAGTTTGTTCATGTGTTGTATTATATAAGCTGTATGCATGAAGATACTGATTCTGAGCTTTTTGTCAAGGTCCTGATACTTGTGTATGGCTTTGGCCGCGTGGGTGCTGTGATTTGACTGACCTGAGTGGGTTTCTGTTGAGGTGTGCACTTTGAGTTTTGCCAGCAGATCACAGCCTGCAGACCTAGTCCTGATGAAGGAAGGCAGCCTTCCTCTTTATTCCTGGCTGTTCTTCCTGTTGTTTGAAACTGCTGTCCTTGTGATGTGAGGTGATTTTCAAATGTTTTTGTAAAAAAAAAAAAAGTGTTTTGAAGATACAACAGAAATCAGAACATCTGATGAGGTGACATCAGGCTGCATGATGTTGAGTTTGATGAGGGGAGTCCTGCCTGCATGGGGTACTGCTTGCCACAAGTGTGCAGCAGTTGCTTGTGCCTCTGGCTCAGGTCTGTGGCACCTCTTGGAAAAGACAGAGAATGCTGTCATGACACAATCTGGAAGTTAACTGAGAGAAATAAACATGGGTCTGAGCAGGACGTTGAATGTAAAGCCAGCTCCTTTGGCTCTGAGTTCTTATTTTCATGTCGTGATGTCTTTTCTAATGTGGTTGTGAACATGAGAGAGACAACCTGCCCCAGTATGTGCCAAACTCCAGAATGAGTGTGGAGTGACCCCCCAGTGTTGATGTGTTTGTGCTGCTGTGTCTATTGTGTACAATATTGGCCCACGTCAGCTGCTAATCACCACAGCTGTTATTAGTCACTGGTGGCTGCATGAGGTACAGAGCACCAGGGAACCTGGCCCTAAAGCAATATGAGCTTTACCTAGCATGAGTCAAAAGGCGTGACCCTGTCTGCAGGAGTGCTCAGTGTCTATGTCAGGATTTCATAGTGAAATGAACAGGAATTTGTTTAACTCGAATCGTCCAGCTTGGGCTGGATAGCTGTCACGTGTATTTTCCTTGCCTGATTCATCCATTTCAAGGGGCTTTGAAGATCTGGCAGTACCTCAAATGCAAATGAGTCACAGTTAGACAGCAAGCAATGTCAGCATACCAAGGTAGCCTACCTTAGCTCCTGCCCATTTTAATAAAGAAGTGCATTGAGAGGATTCACAGACCAGACCTGTGGCTCTCATTAGCCTTCCAGGGTGTGATTTCTAGTAGTTTAGAACAGGCGTGAGCATAAACAGAACTATAAATAGCATCAGCGGTTATTTACAAGTGAAATTGGGAGCAAAAAATTTCCTTCTTCAGACTTTGTTTTACATAGTCAGAGCAGCAAAGGCTCAAAATATTTGTTTTATATGTTAGTATTATAAATCAATCATAAATATATGGTTGGCCAAAACCATCTTTGTGAATTTTTTCCCAGCTAATTGTAAAGGAAGCCAAATTTTTTTAGACTGAAGTACTTGTTATAAAGCAGGCTTTGCCTGCAAATAATGAGGTAGAAGTCTCCTCTTCTGCTCTGGCAAAGGATGTATTCACAGTGACAGATGGTCAGCACAGAACCTTATCTGGTAGTCTAGGCTGCTTGTGCAGGTGAGCCATTGAGGCAGTAATTGTGCTACCTGGATGAGCAAGGAATGCTGTCCATTCTCCTGTTGCTGCTGCTCTAACCTTGCTGTGTTATAAGCTACACACACAGAGATGCAGTATAGAGTTGGAGAATTCAAATGGTAAAAGATGAGGAAATTAATTTTTTTCTCTTGAAAGCTGTGTATATTTAATATGTATTTTGTCTTGAAAGAGTCCTGTCTTCTGGCATGCATAGTTTAGAGCCAAAATAGACTATGTGAGTTGTTTAGACATCCTGACTGTGCTGACTGTAGCACTGGTGCCAGAGGTAGCTGACAGCTTCCTGTACCAAAAAAAAATCTGCAGCCTGAAAGTGCTTTGCAGAAAGCAAATATGTCCTTGCATGCCTGAAGATCAAAAGCCCAGTGCAACTTCTTACTAACGCTGCCAGCTGAGCTCTCCAAACTGGCCTTGGGAGCTAAAGGAGAATAGTGCTTAGGTGCAAGCCCTCCCTGTTCTTGCTCAGCTGGAGCTCCTTGCTCAGAAATGATCCTGCCAATATAGTTAGCAAGAGCTTGTTCAAATTCACATTTAAGGTTTCATCTGCAGGCTTATAGCACTGATTTTAACCAAGCATGTAAAGAAATACACGTTTAATTTCAAACTTACAATGCTGGAGGTGTATTTTATAATAGGCACAGTTATTGCCCTTTGTTTCTTTCATCTGCATACATTACAATCATGAAATTAAAATGTTATGTGTGTACCCAGATGTAATAATAAATTACAATAAAATACATCTGGAAGATATAATAATAAAATAAATGCATTTTAAAATTTCATTTTAATGCATTTTTAGCTTAACTTCATATATATATATATATATACATATATATATATATATAACACTTAACTATTTTTCTCTCATTTGAAATTATTTTCAGGAAATTATGGACTGTAAATATCTGTATTTTGTTTTGAAGTTCTTAGAAATAATTGAGCCATGATCATTCTTTGTATGGAGTAGTCCTGGTTTTGCCCCTGCAGCCATGTCAGTAGAACTATTTTAATAAATCAGTCAAATCTCTTCATACCATCTCAGGCACTTTAATTTTTAATAGTTTAGCTGTATGATAGCAATGCTAAACTGTAACCTCTGTGCATATAACTTGTTTGTTTTTTAAATTATGTATTAAACAAATGAAAACAGCTATTTCACATTTGATATTAGTAAGATAGCTTGAAACCCATCTGCCAAGTTCTTCTCAGCAAATCAAAAGTGCTCAAGCTAATTTCTAAGATTGTCCTATATAAGACTGAATACAAGGCTGGTGAAGTTCAGTACAGAGGGCAGTCTTTCATTTTTAATGGGAAGTCAGAAGCACATGAAAGTAGTTCTATGGATGGAGTTCTCATTTAACTCTAGTGTTTCCTGTAGGGATACACATTATGATACAGATTGGGTTTTTTTCACATTTGCCAGTCAGCACCTTTGTTCAATTACACGCCACAGTGATTACCCCCAAAATATTCCAGCTTTTTTAACTATTATGAGTGGTGTCCAAAAAGCTTAAATTCCTGAAGTTGATTGCAGTCTTACCATCTTACAGAGCAGAAATAATGTAGAAAACCATTTCCCCATCAAAATTATGAAGTGATAAAAGCAACATATTTTTCTTTTTTAAGAGTATGAAACCACACCTAATGATCTTGGAGATGCCACAAATAACAGTAATCAAATCACTTCAACGGATGTTTCCAACAAAGAGAATGAAGATAGCATCACTGTAAGTATAAGCATTGTTTCCTGCTCTATGATCTTTGTGATCTTCTTGGCTATACAACTTACAAAATTGCAGACACTATAAGACTGGCCTATCATAAAACTATAGTTATTCCTGTATTGTGATCAAAGCTCTGTAAACAAAAAAAGGATGAAAAATAAAATCAGTGCTCCCCACTCTTGTCCTTCCCTCATATTTTTTGAATGAGTGAATCACTTTTTAGTTCAAATAAAACCACTGTTTCGTGTCTTGCTTTTCTGAATGATTTAACTGTCATTTTTTTAGCCTAACACTTTGCATCTAATTTTTAGTCAAGGAGAGAAAATCTTCATTTACAAAAAAAAGACCTCCAAGGTAATATGAAGATTGTTGGTTGAATACCCATCCTCAAGTCACCTCCATGTTAGAGAGGTGATATGCTGCAGTGAATTTTCAAAATCTAACTGTATGTTTTAAGACATGATTTCATAGAGGCTTTTGATTAAATGGCCTGTGATAGATTTCAGTACAAGTGGCTGAACTGGTGGGCCTCCTCCTTTGCTGCCTTGCCTCTCATGCTTTCCTGAACTGAAATGTTGGAAACTGGTGGTTGGTTACCAGCCTGGTTGACATTGCAGCCTCCTTCCATCGGTGACTCTCCAAAGCAGCAACAAGTCTACAAGGGTGTGCAGTCATTAATCAGAGAGCAGACTGTTGGGACAGTGTGTTAAAAATTGGGAGGATCCAAGACAGTCTTGTCTCCTCTGATGATAGTCATTGGACTGCCAAGGTCGTAAAGGTGGGACCTGTGAAAGTCCTCCGGCCCATCCTCCCCTGATTAAAGCAGGGCCCATATGGTTTTTATGGTTGTGTCCTCTCTGGTTTTGGTATTTCCAGATGGAGCCTTCACAGCCACTCCAGGTAATTTATATGAGTATTCAACCATCCCCACAGTAAATTCTTTTTTCCTATGTGCTGTTCTTATGTGTTTTCTTGTAACATGCCACTCTGCTGGAAGGAAAAAGGGTGATGTACACCCCCTCCCACCTGCCTTGAGTGTGTAGGATGTTGAAAAAGTTCTCCTAAGTGTCTGAATCTCTGTTCTCTGCAGAATAGAAGAAACCTCAACAAGTGTCTGTTTTCTGTACTCTTTGATCTGAGTGCAAATGTTTTCCAGTTGAAATTAATCTCTTTTCATAACTGGATTAATTTGAATGTATGCTGGATGTCTTTGAAGACACAAAACCAAAACAAACAGTTCTGTTTGTGTCCTCATTTTTTTTCAGGTGTACGTTGTGGTGGGAATTGCAGCACTGGTGTGCACTGGATTAGTAATAACCCTCATTATTCTGAAGTTTGGAAGACACTCTAAGTTTGGGATGAAAGGTAAGCAGGGTTGGTTTTACACCTTCCAGAATTGTTGTGGGTTGTATGAGCTGAGACTGCAGTCTGCTGAACCGGGAGCAGCTGTATTAAATGCCACCACATTTAACATTTTGTTATTCATCAGGTAAGTAAGGGCAGAGATAGGTGTAGACTGAGTGTAGAATTTTGGAACAAACAGTTCTACTTCTGTTTCCTTCTTAGGATAAATACCATTTCTCTGCCTTCTGCTTCAAAGCCCCCTGAGGCAATTCCTGGAGTAACATATTTCTCAAGTCATTGTAGGTAGGAAGAAGATAGGAAATTAAATTTATGCTGTTGCAAATTTGATTGATGAGAATCTGTGCTGTATGTAAGAGGTACTTTAGACAATACTGCAGTGTCCCATTAAGGTGAAGGGGAAGCAATGACAAGAGCAGAAGGTGCATTTGCTGTGGATCCTGTCACAGTGGTGCTTTCTGAGAGATGCATTTTCTTGTGCTTCTTGGGGAACATCATCTGGAGCGAGAAGAGCAGCAAGTACTCATGTCCCTGTGGAAGGGGGAAATCTCAGCCCTTCATTTATTCATTAATGTATTTTACAGACAGATGGAGCTGTGTGTAGCACAGAGGTACCTGCAAAAACTCTCTTACTATATTATTTTACTGGTATCATCAATCTGTGTCTGATGATGTGTGTGAAAATATATTAAAAAAAAGAGAGAGAGAAATTGAAAAAAAAAATAAAAAAAAACCAGCTTGCTATCTTGTTGAGAAACCTACAAGGTGCTTTGCTGTGTGCTAAAGGAGATGAGTATTTGTTCTTAAGATACACAGATGAGGGTCTGTGGAGAACATGGTAAGTAATCTTGTGGTAGACTCCTGTTAATCTCATGTCCTTCTTCTCAAATGTGCTTATGATGCAGTACCACTTGGATGTATATTTTAGTAATGTTTGCATGCTCTTCATAAGTGTTCTTTTCAGAGATATCTACTCTGTATTCTGTGTTCCTGTATTCTCTTTAGAGTAGATTTCCTGGAACAAATGGGATTTGAGCAGAACAGAAACTTAGTTGGTGCTGGGATGGTAATCTTGTCTCTTACCTCCTTCCAGTACGACAGAGTGTCTGCTGTTTGGGGTAGCATTAGCAGAGAACATTGTGAAATATTCTGAATAGCAACATGAAGTCAGCAGGACTGAGCTGCAGAGTTTTGGCAGAAGGCTACTCTGTGATTGAACAGTTCAGCCTAAATTTTATTTGTGTTCAAGGCTTTTTGAATTGCATTTAGAGAGCTGAAGTAGGTGGAAGCTGATTGAGAGAAACAGTGAGAATTGTTTGATGTTAGCTGAATACTTGTTAGATTTTTCAAAATATGCATTAAATATTTCAACACACATTATTAAAAAAACTAGGAAGGAAATCCTACCCTGAGGGAGAATGCACAAAGTTCTATTTTGTGTTGTAGTGTTAAGTTACCTTCTGGTAAGCTACTTGTTTTTTGGTATCTTCAGATACAGCTCCTCTCACATAAATAGTGCTCTTGCCTAATCAGTAAGTTTGACCTGAGTAGTTGTTTGTTGCAAAATTGTCCATGTGTATCATATTTTAATAAGAATATGATTTCATGGAAATGATTATATGAAATTACAAAAAGGCAGCAGCCTCATACATATTGTTTATTTTATTTTTAATGGTGAAATGTCACTGTGAGTTACAAATAACTTTTGAGTCCATTATGAGGAAGGAGTAGCTTTCATCTCTCCCTTAAGTGGACCTCAAATTTTTCGAAAGCATGCATTCACACCTCAGATTCACCATCTGCATCTATCCATAGTCCAAAGTACAGAAACACTCTCTCCTTTTATCATTATCAGTATTACTGAATTTATATTAAAACAATATAGACTTGAGATTAGATAAATATTTATCTAATATAGATAATATTTATCTAAATATAAATAATGTTTATCTGGCTGAGAAGAAAATATTGCTGCTCTGAAAAACCTGTATTGTAAGTATATGTTAAGAATTTAAATATGAAAGTAAATAATTTGGTGTATTTGAACATGAGGAAAATAAGGTAAGCATGATGAGAAGGGGTTTTTTAAGTCATTATTGATCAATACATTCAGATGTGTATCTTGGAATTTGTGAGTAAAAGGGTCAAGTCAGCTACCTGAGAATTCTGACACATTTGCAATTTAATTCACTTAGAGCAAAATTAATCCAAACTTCGTATACAGCGTGCTATAGTGGTAGTTTAATAAACAGTCTCTGTAGGGAAATGGGAATGAGCAAAATATCCAGATTTCCATGGAAAATATGTGTAAAACAAGATTTAAAGATCCTCCTCAAAATTCATGATGATTTTTGCATTCATAAGAAGTAACCTCCTGAGTTACATCAGGCAGAAATGCACAAAAGGCTGTGCTTCTTTTTCTCTTGTGTTCTGAGAACACATGGTCACTCAGACACCCTATCATTAAATGCTTGTGCACCCTTCTTCAGCAACCAATTTGGAAAAAACAAAGTAAGCATTCAGTAATTGGAGCAGTCAAACTGTCACCAATGGTATTTTTCATGTAACCATGTATTTGGAAAAAATGTTCCATGGAAAATCAGAAAAAAAAAATAAAATATGTATATAGGCTAACATAACTGTGTGTCCTGTAAGAAATATCTTTATGTAAGGGATGACATTTTCATCTCGTTTGGGTTCAGAGCAGGCATCTGCAGCTTCTGTAGACATTGTTTTATGCCTCCTACTTTTAAATGTCAGTTTATCCGATCTTTTACATGGGCATCATCTGCCCACTTCCTAAACTCGTGTCTTCACTGAGTTCTGTACTTAGACAGTTTGAGCATGGTTGGAGTGTGGGACTGACAGTGACCGAGTCCCCAGAAAGAGCTGTGGAGCCGGCAGGTGTGTCTGAGCTATGGCTGTGTCAGAGCTGCCCGTGCCTGGAGGTAACTGCACGTGCAGAGGCTGCCAACAGAGCTCACCCTGATACCTTCTCCCCAGTACTCACTGGAGCAGAAAAGTGCCTAGTCTTTCTGTTAAGGAGCACCAGGTCCTCTTGGAACTTCCAGTTCTTTGGCTGTATTGATCAATATGTCATCAAGGTCTGTTGAAGAGTTGTATAAAAATAACTTGTCCCTAATTTTACTTTTCTCTAATTATTTGGTATATCTAAGGTAAGAGAATAATATTATACTATTATTATAATAATATTAATTTTGCTCAGTTACCTTTCCAAACTATACTAATAGAGTGTTTTTAGAGGTGAGGAGGACAAATTTCTCCTCAAGAGAAATGCAAAGCATTTGCAAACACTTTTCTTGGGATGTTCTGTATTCTGATTGAACTTAGATTGTACTGTAGGAAGCAGTTTTTTTAATTCTTGCCTTAATTCTTTTTACTCTGTCTTTCAGAGCTAGAGGAGATTGCAGTTTCTAATGATTGGCTTTGGGAACAGTATTAGTACAGAACAGATCTGTGATCTGTGCTAGAGGAGTCTTAAAATAGGGTTAGTACAAAAAACTCTTCATGTTGTGCTAGACTTCAAACTTCCACAGCAAAATTTATCAGAATAATTGGTGGAACATAATTCTCTATTTTGCTGCTTTTGGTTGCTTGGATCTGGAGGTGAGGTTTTTAGACCTTGCAAGATGCTGTAGCATAAATGGTGAAAGCTTCAGTTAATTTCGTAAATGCGTTTGTTAAGACTTGTGGGTTGCTCTTACGAAACACCTTGGCTTGCTTGCCTGCTTGCTTGCTTGCTGTGGGATGTGAAAATGCTTATGGTGGAATTCACTGGAGGCTGCCAAGACAGCTCTTACTGTTTTGTGTTTATTTCTGACTCCATCTAACCAGCTTATGAAACTGAAAAATAACAAGGGAACTGGAATAGAGAGGACAAGGGAGCGTTTGTGAACTCCCTGAGAGGATTTGTGGAAGAGTAATTCTAATCCTGTTTTATTCTACTTTGCATGTTGAATAGTGATGGAAGTAACTGAATGGTTTGCAGCACAACCAGCCCAATACACAGTTTGCAGATGTTATCATGCCACTAAGCATGAGGGGAAGTATAAAGAAAACTGATGAAAGATAAATTAGTGGATAAACTTAAAAATAGCATGATTGAGTTAAAAGGATGGAAACATTTTTGATTATATCAACTGTTCCTATTCCAATGACAAGACAATATCCCTAGTACTCCCTGCTTCCTGGGGAATCTGGAGGTGAATAGTCAGGGACAAGAGAACTATCAAAGCAGTTTTACTGATAGAGATAAATGGAGTTTGTATAGGTTTTACCAAAATCAGAAAGGAAAGAGAAGCCACTCTTACCCAAAGCAGTGTCTTCTGTGTTTTAAGCTAACAGATAGAAACAGACAGAAATAGAGGGAAATGTGTGTACTTGTTCCATGTGGGGTGGGAGGGATTTTTTTTCATATATTGTATGAAACATTGTACACAACTTTCATACCTTGTATGATGAAGTCTCTGTCAGTGCCTTGAGCTGCATTTAATTTCCCTTACCTTTGCAGTGCAAAGGTAAGAGAACAAGCAGTCTGAAATTCGCATTGTGTTTAGGCAATGCCAGCCATCTTCCTGTGTCTCTGGGCTGGAATGTCATGCTTTGAAAGGTGCTTCCCATTCCTCAGGCACTCTCAAAACTACCTCCTGTGTCTAAGTATATGTCCTGACTATGAATTCTTCACCCTGTTCAAGCATTGCAAGTCTGTGCAGATCAGGGTACAGAAATGAATGAGATTGTGTGGTTAATCTAGGAAAGAAAGTTGTATCTCTTTAAGATCAAGCACACCAAAATACTACATTTCCTTCATGTTTTTCCTAGCTGCTTGTCGACTTTTTTGAGTGTAAGTTTAATTTAATTTAATTTGGACTGTCATGAGAGTGCTGTTCTTTTTCATCAAGCTGGTTAAAAATTAGGAACACACCCATGGAATTTGCCTGCCAAAGTCCAAACAGAATACTTTGTCCTGCTTCTTGATAGCT